GTGCACATGCCCTGAAAGTACCAAGATGGCTGGCTGGGTGCAGGTTCCATGTCTTGAGTAAAAGATGCTTTCAGATAGGTACATCTAAAGGAAACCATTTTGTGAGGTCTCCCAAGGAAAATCTCTAGAAATATTAAGTCTCTGTCCTTTCCTTTTAGATGCATGAGGAAGCAGAGGCTATTTTGGCAACCCCTACAAAACAGCCTGTAATCGATGCATCAGCTGAGTCCTGACCTCTGCTCAGCCAGTGCTCTGCATATGGACTTTGAAATGCTCAGACAACCTCCCACTGACTGGATAAAAAGTTTGGAACATCACCTTCAAAACCTTCCAGAAGCTACTGGTACCTGAAGACTGAACTGAAAATATTTTCTTCCTCAACCAATTACTGGCACAGTCATTTGAGCCCTTTGGGGATTTATTAGACATTACCATAGTTTTAATAATAGTAATTACTAGTATATGCAAGAGCCAAGCACTGAACACCTCCACAAGTTTTCATTTCATTTTCTACCATAAATTACGAAGAAATAGGACAACTTGCAGAGACATTTTTAATTGACTTCCGATTCTGTTCCAGAGAAGCAGAATGATGCCTTGCTTTTTAAACCCTGGATACCAGGAATCAGAGAGATGGGGGTGCATTCCACTGCCAGCAATGGGGAGCCATGCTGTAGTTGTGGGCACCAGGGGATTAATGTTAGCCCTTCTCTGTTGATTTTTGTACTGTTTATAACACTACTTTGGGGATTTGTAACTTCAGACAGAAAGAAATGCCTCTGAATCTGAGGTTTCATTAAGTTATTTTAATATTGCTATAGTTGTAAGACATTTTATTAGCAGTTTCTTCAATTTCATTGCATTTACATACATGTATCTTATCTGAACCAGTTAAGGATTTTCACTACAATTTTATTTTCAAAACAAGTCATTTAAAACTTAAAGTGCTGAAATCAGATTGTTTTCCCTGAATACTATGCATGTGTTTGCAGTTTCTACACTCATACTCATATAGTACAAATGTGGGTCTTACTCAACTACAATCCTTTAAAAAGCATGATTTGTATCAGATAAGCAAATACTGTATAAACTGAACTTGAAGACATTTAATCATTGCAGGTTTTGTGAGGAGACTTAAGTATGAGTGTTTTCCAAGTTCCACAGAAACAGCTTTTTATAAAAACAAAGGTTTATTTGAATTTTCAATGGATTAGTGATCAAGCATCAGATAGTACTAATAATTGTAGTGAAAAGCCTTAAGTAACAAATTTTGGAGCAGCCTACTTATAATTTTGTACTGGTATTTAGGATTTGTTGCAAAAGTTAAATGATACAGTGACTGGTAATGATTGAAGTAGTTGCCTCTATCATGTTACTAGTGCCGTTTCTAAACTAGTAAGTGCAAGCTAGAAAAAAAAAAAAATAGTAGGAATCCCTGTCACTTTGATTATGGATCTAAAGATTCAGAAGCCTTTATATAAAGGTAGTATAAATATATGCAAATGTGTATATACAGTAGCATGGCCACCTTTGTTAGAATGCCTGTAATAGAAGGGGTTACCCTTTGATTTTGATATAGGTGAATAATTCAGCTGGACTGTACTAAGTAGAACGTATTTTTATCCATTCACTCCTACCATTTTTTATAATTGTCAGATTAATTCTTAAGTGAAATTTATCCTGATGCTCATATCTCTGTTCTTACTAGCTATGCTACTGGAGATTTCAATAAGTAGTCCTGTGAACAGTAACACACAATTCCTAGTGAAATGTAGAATTTATTTGTTCTTACTGGAAATTTCATCATGCCACATAAGCACTGCTTTGCAGCTATCACTTCACTGAACTCCTGTGTGCACTGCATACCTTCAGGTTCTGGTAAAGCAGACTGTAAGTTGCTGCTCAGTCAAATTTAGTTCCTAAGATTATCTTTTCATAAGTTCCCACTGAAAGGAGCAAAACAAAACTGATTGAACTCTTCTATGGTCATTGACACAAATAATACATCTGTGTGGCAAGACTTGTTTGAAATGTTTAGAAAACACACCACACCAGTAACTATTGGACTTCTGGTAATAAGAAATAAATGCTTCTGTAAAACCAAAATGTCAATCACAGTAGACCAAATAGTGGTATAAACTCCAAAGGAAAATAATGTAGTTTTCCCACAAATGGGGATAGCATATGTTATACAGTAGTTTCAAACACTACCTCAGTTAGGCTAGAGTAGAAGAGATTTGTTTTAATAACTAAATGGGGTTACATCAAACAACTCCATGTTATTTTTCTGCAGTTAAGGCAAGATAAACAAGTTTTATCACTTGTATTTAAAAAAACCCACCTCTGTTCATTTGTTAAGTTTAACCCATAGCACTTAATGTAGAAAGTCATAGGAAGGCCTCTGATTATAGAAAGGTAAGCAAATATACTTTTGAAAGAATCTCCATCCTGAATTGCTCATGTATTCTGAATAATGCGCTTGTGTGGGGATCCGTGACAACAGAAACTTGACATAAAAAATTATGGCTGCAAATTCAGTTATGAAGCGTGGTTTTTCTTCTGAAAGTGTATGAGTGTCAGTAGATTTCAACAAGTATGCATCAAGTCTGTATTGTATATAACATACATTTCTAGAAAATTAATTTACACACTGACATTAAGCTCACATTGATGTTTCACTTTAATTGGCAGGCGAAGGGGATACTGTTATTGAAGGAAATTTATATTGGCTTAGTTATAAACTGTGAATTTCTAATTTTATAGTTTTCTTTTTTTTTTCTAATGTCCCTTTCAAAGTCCTTATTTTGGAGTTTTATTTATATCATGATAAAGCTTTGAAAGAAAGCTGTAGTAAATAATGGTTGTTCTTACATTAGCCCTAATAAAAAATCTCTTCCACTTCTCCTAGGGAAGCTGACAGACCACCCACTTTTTAGATTTCCAGCCTGAGTGATTTGTGATACTGCTCAATAAATGGCAACATGTGTAGCATTCACTTACACTCTGGACAAATGCAGTTTGGTTGCTGTGGCACAGAAAACACCTCAAGGACTCAGCTTGCTCACACACAGCTCAGAGGTGGGAGCCGCTCCGGGAAGGAGAGGCTGTTTGTGGAACCAGTCACAATTATCATCAGCTACCTAATTCTCTTGGTCTACTCTTACAGGCAGGGGAAAGGGGAGCCCTTTCCAAAGAGGAGAGAGCTGTCTGACTGACAGGCACCCAGGCACCTCCATAAGGGCCTGGTCCTCTCCACAAAGGGAGGGAGGATGAGGCTGGGGGATGAGTGTCTCCTTTTGGAGAAGGAGAACTTTTCACCTCTCTGAAATTCAGAAATGCAGAACACTTCCAGCTGTTGTGGACATCACTTGGAGCTAGATACGGTCAGGCTTTGAAGTTTCCAACTCACGTGGGATCCCTGGCATGTCTTGCTTGAAACAGTTGCTTTTCCTCATCTGACAGCTCTTACTTGATTGATGTCTGACAAAGGTACCCTAAACGTGCTCTCTTGTGGGAGGTGGTGGTTTTTCCCTAAATGGAGTTTTAAACAGTTCACTAGTTGTGGGTGCAGTGGCTCAGGACACTGAGGTAAGCTGCGCTTATAAACATTTATAAGGTGTCTGTGAGAATCCTGCATGTCTTTCTGATTCCACTTTGAAACACAGTGGTCTGGAAAGAGAGTTGTGGCTTGCAGTGAGACCGAAAACAAAACCAAAGCGCCTCTCCTAGGTGCCTGAAGAGTAAGGTAGCTATTCAAGAAATAGACTGTAACCAAAACATAGTGAGGGATGGAAGAGTTGCTGCTTTGTAGTCTGTGCCTTGGGCTTGGTGTTTGGCAGTTTGGGCAGCAGGAACCTGGCACAGCTTGTAAGCGAACATGAGCTCAGGTGTGCAGCAATCACAGCAGAAGAATTCTCACCACGCTCTGAGGTCCTGCTCACCTCCCCGCTGTCCTGCTGCTCTGAGCTGCACTGGAGCCACTTGAAAGCAGGTCCAGTAACTTACTTGTTTAAGTTACACTTCTATTACTGTGTGCATATGAAAGGTATACAATGTGAGAGCAAACAACTTTTACAACTGTAAAAGACTTCTGAGGACATGCTAAAAAACATGTTTTTGTTTTTCTGGAGGTCTCCAGTCTCCTTGGTTTTCATTTAACTCCCAATGCTGGTTCCCTGGATAGTTTTGTTTTCAACAGATTTATAGTCATTAAAAAAATGTGGATTTTCTTTGGGTTATTTTTGTAGTGTAGATAGACATCAATGCCACAGCATGCAGAAATTGCACATTTTGCTTGAGTTGCTTTTTAAAATACACTATTTTATTTGCAAAACATAAGTTATGCCAAAAAATGTAACAGCATTTTGCCACTGAATAGGGTGTTTCAGCAGAAGATGCTATGTCTGAAGGGGAAAAAAGGCTCTACATTTTGTAAATCTGATTGAAAAATTGTTTCAATACTGGGCTGTCAGCATCCCTAAAACTGCTTTACAAGACATTATCTAAATTAGTAATTCTGAGGGAAGGGATCAAGAAAAATCTCAATACTTACTCTCCCTGTCCTGTGTGGTCTTTTTTTTGTTTAGTAATACGCTGCTACATATTTGGAGGTTCTAGTGTTTGTAGGTCACTGAACAGACATTGAAATCTGATTTATATTGTATACCTGTAACATAGAAAGAAAAAGTATTTATATATTTTACGTAAGAATATTGCATTGAGCTGTGTATAATTTAAACAGAGGCTTGTCCCAAAATGGTATTGCCCACTTTGATTTTTTTTTTTGTGTTTTTCTTTTTTCTTTTTCTTTTTTTGTATACTGTGTACAGTTCATGTCAACGAGCATTAAAGGCCTCCTGAAGCGTAGTCTTATCAAAGGGATGCATTGTTAATAAAATATACTTAAACTTATAGTTGTTCTGGTCTCCTATGTACCTTTCAGCATTAGAAAGGATTTGGAATGCAATTTATATTTGTAAGTTACTAGTAAACTAGAATAATCAGAAGCTTCCCAAATAATTTTTTTTATCAAAAATATATTTTACATTAATGCTTTATAAGATACAGAGACTCTTTAATAGTTTACACACCATTTTTATTATTTTAAGAATTTAACATACTGAGAATGATTTTCTTTTATGTGATGGTTTAAGTATTGGCATTTCAACAACAGCTGTGAAAGTTGCATTATGAACAAGAAAAAAAAAAGGATTACAGTTTGGAATCATTCAACCATTAATGCAAGACAGATGTTTTAATATATAAAAATTATACACACTTCTCGATATATGCCAAAATACTTCTCTAATCTTCAGTTCTGGTGCCCAGACTGTGCCCTTTGACTGTCACAGAGGCATTATCCTTCCTGGAATCCTCCATTTGTGTGCTTTTTATGCACAAGAGGTTTCACAAAGCACCACCCATCTGAGCCAGGAAGCAGAAGGGTTTATAGGGAAAGAGGAGCCTTTCTTTCTTCTCCTTCCCTCACCCAGCAGTCTGGATCTGCATCCAGATAATGGAATTTCATCGGAGCAGGAGCAACCAGGGAACTGAGAGGTGGGAACTCAGCCAGGCCCATGTGTCTCACCCCACCATCAGGAAGGCACAAGTGGCTGAACCCACAAACCCCTTCATTCACTTCCTGAGTGGAATTGCTGCAGACAGGTCTCAGTGATAGCAGCCTTTTCAAAGCAGGGAGTTGTGCCTGGTTGGAGCTGTCCCCCTGGCAGGAGGAACTGCAGCAATGTCAAAATTTAAAATGCTTTGTTGTGATAACTCTGGTTTCTTTGACAACTATGTATGAATTCCTTAGTACGTGACTCTTATGTAGAATACCTTTTCAACATTATAGAATAAATACACATTTTTCTGAAATGTACAGCTCAGAAGTTTTGTATCAGTTGTGACAATGCAGCTCCCATATGTTTATTGGCCTTTTTTCCAGCAGTAAAGCTTTTAAGCTACACAAGTACCTACAATGTGTTGAAGCACTCTGGAGAAGCCAGCTTTCATATGCATTGTTACTCAAAGAAGAGGTTAAGATAAAGGGAGGATGTTTCCCTGGGATGTATCCAGCAAATAGCATCAACCTTCTCCCTTATCCTCCCCATTCCCTTGCCCTCCAGCAGAACATGCCCAGCTGTTCCCTTACTCAGCTGTCTGGAGGCTGAAAGGAAGGACCATGCTGCAAACTCTTCTCTGCTTCTCAAGTCTGTGAGCCACCTGCACCAACGCACAGCACACAGATGGGCATTGAATGGCATGGACTGAACACCTCCAGACAGATCTGCCCACCTGTGTCTGTACCTCCCTTTTTCATGGCTGAAAACTTCTCCCCTCTGTTTGCAGTCAGTGCTTGCCTCAGCCCACAGGCTGTAAAAGGTCTTAGTGGTTTTCCTGTTGCAACACAGCTTGTGACATTACAACTATCTGTAAGCAATAGTAGAAAAACTAGATGTGGTTCAGTATCAGAATTCTCTCACTTTGTCTGCAGCTGTTTGGTTTCTAGGAGTCTGTTTAGCTAGTTACACACTGGGAAGTCAAGTAACTGCATTTTAGCAAACTAGCTGAACATTAAATTGTCAGACACCATCTTTTCTGCCTTTGAGAATCGCTTATGCTGTGCTCTTAAGTTGAAACCATCTCTGTGACAGATTCCAATCACCATAAAGAGCCAAACCAAAGGGCTCCTTATCCACTGAGGTAAATCTGATGAGATTTTCAGCTACAATTCCAACTGTACTGCTTCATTACAAATGTATGCTTTCCTAAAATCAAAATGAAAGGCCAAATTCACTGCTGCCTACTGTAGGGATTTCTGTTTTGTTTTGTTTTTTTTAACACACTTTAAAACAGTGCTGAGAGATATAGATGTATGCAGCCTGATGATGTTCTTAACAAATGGGATTCATATACCTGTGCTTCTGACCAGCCTCTCTGGTTGACTGGTTGGCTGGTTGGTTGACTGGTTGGTTGGTTGGCTGGTTGGTTGGCTGGTTGGTTGGGGCTTCCTATGGAAGTACAGGGGTCAATGCCTAGAGTTCAGTTCATGCACGCAAGCAGAAGATGGATGCCACGTGGTACCACCTCTATCCTTCTGGAAAATTAACTCCTTCCCACCTAACTCCCTACATCTCTTCAATAAGTAGTTAAGACTACTTTGAAGGGTCTTTAGGCAGAGAAGGCAGAAGTGTGAGGAGCCCCAGCTAAAAGAAATGGAAGTGGGGTCTTCCCTATAAAAATAGGTTTCTGTGCTCTTTCACACGTCAAGTGTAGTTAGGACACGGGTGAAGTAAAAACAGGATGATCACTGGATTTGGGTGCTCTGGGCAGCACTCAAATCTTCTAGGAATGAGCCACAGTGTGTGCAGGGAATGCTTCTACAATGATTCCTGAAATCATTTGAGAGAGAGAAAATACAACCCAGCCCCTAAAATGACTGGGCTGGGCAATGCTCCATCCTCAGCAGCACAGTACCCATTGGCTGGGGTGGCCACAGCACACAGAACACCGCAAGAGAAACACGCTCCTTGAGTAGCACAGCCTTCCCCCTTGTTTCATTTGCTCCTCTACTTTACAAATAAAGTTTTAATCTCTGCAAAATAAAGCAGTTCTCTGCATGAGCCCATGACAGATTGCTGTGATGTAACTTCCTGCATAATACAGGCCACAAAACAGCCTATAAATCTCATATAATGCCCGTAAGTTGTAATGGAACCATAGAACACATAATTCCTGTGTAAAACAGTACTCAAAACTAGTCCAGAAACAACAGCTTTGCCATATTAATGGAAATCAGGCAGCTGGGTTTGTGAGAGACCTAATCAAAAGAAGTTGTGGTTTTAGAAATTCTCATTTATAGTATATAGCCAAACACTGGATGGACTCACTGGAGGACAGAACTTCAAAGACTCCCCCCCAGACAGCGTGCATCTGTTCGTGAGATGTATTTCAGACTGTTCTTTCTCTCAGCTGTTTCTCTGGTGGTTGAGGCTGCATCCTCATGAAAAATATCTAAATAGCATTGAGGCTGGTACAGCACCACTGCCTGATTTGTCTTGCCTGCTTCCAGTGTCTTCGATATTTGGTAGGGATCAGATTCAGTCTTAAGTGGAGAAGAATAAGCAAAATTCTCAAAACAAGTATGAGTTTGAGGTGTAGCTGTGGGTGGAAAGTTTCTCACTACGTTTTCACTAGGGTAAATCCAGGAAGAAATGTGACCATCAATCTTATCTTCAGTTGGTGTTGAAGATAATGGGCTCCAGGTAACAGGATGCAATTTCTGAGCTTCAGCATTACTGTCAATGGCTAGCATGTCAGGAAGGCAGTCATTTATCTTCAGCACTTTCTCAGAATCAATCTGCAAGACAATCATTAAACAAAGAAATTACTCAATGAAAGAAGCCCAGAGTAGAGATAGTGATTACTTTAAGGAATTCTAATATTCCTACACAGGTTTTTTTTTTTTCATTTACACTTTCCAAGTAAATGAATTTGAAGGAAAACCTACATAGAGGACACTCAATAGAAGCTGCATTTTATGTGAAATTTATCAGACTATTTATTTAGAGATTTCTTTTTTAAGTAAACTCACAGTGACTACATTTGAGGAAGGAACCATGTCTCTCTAGTCTAAAGACTTTGCCAGGTTTTTGATGTGTGCTGGTTTTATTTTGAGGCAGAAGCAACAGGAAGACAGCAGCAGTGGCTGTTGTGTGTACCTCACTCCTCACTCTCGTGCTGGTGTTCAGTGAACACCAGCAGCCCCACCTGTGCCAAGGCAAAGGCTTTGGAGCCCCCAGATAGCAGCTCCCAGGTCGAAGGGGTACAGAAGAAGCTGAAGGCCCTTTGCCAATCCTCCCAGCCGGGCCTGGCAGTGCCTGGCAGAACCCCCTGCATCCTCCCAGGGCCAGCAAGTGCAGGGCCCTGCAGTGTCCTCCCGAGGGAGCTGGGAGGGAACACAGCTCACAGGCTGCAGGGAAGTCCAGTATCCTCTGGGCTGCTGAGTTCAGACAGTGCAGGGGTTTGAACAGTAACAGTGGAGGAATCACCTGCTGATCAAAAGATTACATTTATTCTCCAGTTGTGCATTTTCATTTTGCAGTAACATGCTGCAAAGTAAGCTGGTCATTGCAGAGTCACGTGAATGTCAAAAGGAGAGTTTTCCACTAAATAGTAAAATTAAACTGTTAATTTGTGTATAATGATTAAATGTTGTCAACACAAAAACTGACAAGAAGTTAATTTTTAACTTTAAGAAGTATAGTATGTTGGGTTTTTTTTTCCAAATCTACTAAGCAAAGAATGGAAAAAGTAAAAACTCTGGATTTTCCGTGATCTTACCTTAAAGTCTTTGAATGACAGCACTTTGCTCTTACTAGGACTAGGTATTACAGGACAGCAGCACTCCTTCACCCTGGAAATAAGAGACCAAAACAAATGTAATTTTTGTTCTTTCATCAAAGCACACTCTACCAGCAGAAGCTACCCATAGATGTGTACAGGCACAGCAGCAGTTGACCAGTGTCTCAGAAATGCCACAGGCCAAGTACTTAAAACATCCACACAGTCAGAGAGCCAAAGGAAGAAATTAATGAGGCCATGCAATGGGCTGGAAGCAACAAACTGCAGCAGTGGTTTGTTAGATTAGTTAGATTAGTTATATTCTCTGTCTACAACAGAAACATGCAGTACAACTTACCGCTTCATCTTCCAGTGGCATATAGCTGCTACGAGGGCTGGAACTATCACTAGCACAGCAACAAAGTACAGCATGTTTGCTGTGGAATAAAAATAACTTTAAAATTTTGTTTTTGACTTCTCACATATTAAATTCAATCCAGATTGAGTTTCTGGGGCAAAAATAACATCAAGTCTGCATGGGATGCCTGCCACTAACTCAGCAGCAAAACTGTGTGGTCCATGGTTGCAAGGTAGCTTGGCTGGAAGTTCTGGGATATCTCTGTAAGCCTTTAGACCTTGATCCCCTTTACCAGAATGGGATTATAACTAGATTGCTTTTTATTTGCCTCATATTGGCACCTTAGCTGTAAGAGTAATTTACAAAAATTAAGGCAGTGATAACCTCAGTTAAGTAATGTTTTTGGTTTTCTCTCAGACCCCTAGAGAAGACAGATTTTTACTGAGAGGTACGAACAACGTCTGTACCTCCATTTTGGACTCACTATAGCAAGAAAAACACTACACAAGTGTTCAAGCCTCCTAGGATTTATGCCAATTCGGGGATCTCTTAATTTCCTTCTCTCCAGAAGATAGCCTTAGGCTATGCTGTTCATAAACAGCTGAGGCTCTAGGTGGGCTGAGGGGAGTGCTAGTTAGTGCCTGCTCTCCCTCTGCTCTCCCTCTGCCTTGTCCAGTGCCCTCCTGCCCTGTGCCAGAGAGTTTGTGTATCCCCACACCACAGGAGGGAATGGATGGACACATTACATTCTCCTTGTTTCTCTTGAGGGTTAATCAAGCCCTTGTCTTTATTCTCTGCTTGGCTGTACAAAGGCATGGCTGGCTAATGGAAGCTAGAGCTTGTGTGCTAGAAGCAGAACTGTGCCTGTGAGGGTGCCATGATGGCCAGACACTGCAGTAGTTAGCCTAAAACATGGAGTCACTTTGCGTTAGCCAATCCTTCCCCTTTTCCCATCCCTTCCCCTTCATCTCCAACCCCAATAAGATTTTCAAAACCAGGCATCTCTAGTTTGGATCCTAACCTTCACAGCCATGCTGACTGGTATTTTCAAGGGACAAAGTTACAGGCAAGTGATTTCCTCTTCTGCTTTGGTGATCAAATCTGCCCAGTTAGCAGAATACTATGCCCATGCCAACAACCCTTCTGTACTGGCTTATGAAGGAGTGAATTTGGCAATGGTTTTAAGGACTGATGAGAGTAAGAAGCAACATTAGAAGTTCAAAAGTCCATACAGGAATTACCTGTTTGCACACAAGTCTGAAGGTATTCCAGTATTAGAAAACCAGTTAAATCCAAACACAATTCTTCAATGAGTTCTAACAAACAGGACTCACTAGGCATGCAAATGTGCATCTATTGAGCTATTTCCCAGAAGGATATAAGACTTAAATAAGGCGTAAAATAAATAAGATGTAAATTAGTAAATAAGACTTTAATTAGGCTCATTCTAAAATTTAGAAAAAAATACTTTCTACTTAGAAGTATCAAAATGTCATTGTATCCAAATGTCATGCTTGTATCATTTCTCAGTCGGATTCTTTCTTAAGTGAATGTTGCATTGAATTAAATGTTTTCCCTTAAGAAAGGAAGTTTATTATAACATTTTAAATCCTTCTGCTACAGGACATTATTCACAGTATATGTACTCACAATTATATGGTGTATCTATGTATCTAAAGTTAACAATGGGAGTCTCTCCTCCACCTGTAAACGCTTTAACCACTATTTTGTATTTTGTGTTTGGCATCAGGTGTTTCACGGTGTATCTCTTTTCTTCTGGGTTTTCAATCGTGTATTTACATAGCTCTGATTCATCTAAAACAAAACAAATAAGATAAAATCACAGGATCAAAGAATGCTTTTGGTTAGAAGGGACCCTAAGGATTACCTAGTTCCATCTCCTCTGCCATGGACATGGACACCTTCCACTCAAACAGGTTACTCAGCCCCATCCAGCCTGGCCTTGAACATTTCCAGACATGGGGCATCCACAGCTTCTCTGGGTAGCCTGTTCCAGAGCCTCATTACCCTCACAGTAAATCCTCTCCCAATAGCTATTCTAAGCCTATACTTTCTGTTTAAAACCACTACCACTTGTCCTATCAGTACAGGCCCTGGTAAAAATCTCTTTCCATCTTTCTTATAAGCCCCCTGTTAGGTACTGAAAGGTTGCACTAAGTTGTGCAGAATATTACAAAACCAGTTAACTGAAATAACAAAACATTTGCAATCTGCCTTCTTTGTAATTTGCACACTTTCTTCTGGGCAAGATGATACATTCTGACTCACTGCCACTGGCTGAACTCACATCCCTTCTAACTGGACTGGCCACAGCATTGCCCTTCTCTGGCAGACACCTAACAACTTGTTGTCAAAGCCTGCACCTTGTTTATTTAAATTTCTTTTTCCTCAAGCATTGTACCAGAATTTGAATTTTGCCATTTCTTTTTTTTTTTTACCAGAATCCTGTAGCCCTTAAGCTTATGTCAATTTCTTTGAAGATAATCAAAAGCAAAAAATCTCTGCCTGAAAAAAGAGCTCTTCTGCCTCTCTATTGTGCAACTCCCAAACCCCAGGGAGAAATGGGTTAGCTTATTTCTGCTGTTTTCAGTCACACCCCTTGTCTGCTAGCAGAAGCAGTGAAGCAGAGAATCTTTGATTTAAACTTTTTAAAGTCTAACTGGAATTACTTACAGAATTATGGTACTTACATAGTTAGTTCAGTTCTGACAAGAACTTCTACATAAGCCTCCCTCAGTTCAAACTTTTCTTTTCATACTGGCACTAGTCTAATCAGCAGAAGAACACAGGACCTGACCCAAGCAGAAGACGAGGCAAAGAAAAAAAATAAAATGTATTCCTTTAATGTATTGGAAACATCTGAAAATTATAATGGACCAAAGTCATCTGGAGCAGTTTTGCATGTGAAACAGAAAGGTCTGATATAAATTTGTGGCTTTGTGCCACTTCACAGCTCAATTCTGCTGAAAGAACTCCACTGTAGAGCATACACACAAATACTTTCACTGAAAAAGAATTTACATGGGAATTTACATTATAAAGTGCTCCAATTTTAAAGGAAATTAAGTGTATCCCATCTGTTTCTAAAATACCCCAAATCCTAGTACGACTAACATGCTTCTTATAACTTTTATCCAAGTAGACCACAAACAGATGTTTTTCAACATTAATCGAGAACTCACATCACAAGAGGCAGAACCCCTCCTATAGTACCAAAGGAGTCTAATCTGGAGCTAAAAAAAGAATCATGGATAATAGGATGCAGGCTGTAAATCCAGAAATCACTTCTGCCTACCAGCACCTCATGCACCTAGAGGAACCAAAAGCAATAGGTGTTGAAATCTAGAGATGGCTTAATGAGCTAGTCAGACTGCCTAATGTGAACCTTCCAAGATGCTGAAATACCAACAAGTCTTTCACCTGTATCAATGACACAATTTTCTGTGGCAGAGAGCTCAGTTACCTGAAAGAATGTGCTTTTTAGATCCTTTCAGGTTGCAGTTCCCTTCTACAGGTGACACATAAACATTGTAGCCTCTTACAAAACCAGGCTCTGACTCATTTGTGAGATAAGAATCCCAAGACAGTGTTACTGAATTGTAACTTAGGTCAACTTTTCTCACAATAGGGTCAAGACGAGGAGCTGGAAGAAAGGAAATTGGAATTAAACTTGCAATTATCCTTCAAGAGTATTTTCTCTTATCATTTGAAAAATTCACACTCCCATGTGGTGTTTATGTTCATATCTTTCTTGTATTTAAAAGCTGAACAAAGCCAAAGTTCTCTACAAAAACTGACAGCTTCACAGAACCTTCATGCATCTAGACAATACATGAAGCAATAACTGATAACAGCTTTGTTAATAATAGCTCTCCTAATAAACATGGGCTCTGCCTGGTCACTGCACTACACAAATATCATCCATGTAGATGTTTATACAGAACTTTTAAATGCCTCACTGAAGATACAGAAAGGACACAAAAAAACAATTTCATCTAGCCATAGGAAGAGACAATTATTCTATTTGTGACAGATCAATTTAGCAAATGCACAAGCCCCAAATATGTTGCTAACTTACGCAGCTCCCTGAGATAACCAATCTTCTTTTCCAGTAAGGAGGCTCTATTAGCAACAGAGCCATAGATGCGGAATTTGTATCTCACCCCAGGAACAAAAGCAGCTAAAAAACATTTGAACAAAAATAGGTTATGGTCTGTTTTCCAGTGTTACTTTTATTTAATTGCTTCCTACAGAGGTCAATAACCTATTGGACACATTCTCTGAGTGCTATTGTGCTATTAAATCATCTGAAGGAAACAGAGGGCAAGCCAATTCTTGGTGTGCATTATGTGAATTAAACACATTTATTCTGTCTGAAAGAGCAAACTGGGAGAGGGGTTTATATATTTTTTTGCCATACAGTATTCAAGATGACTGAACAATAGACTCCAAATGCACCAAAAATAAAGACAATTTCATTTACATTTCTGGCACAGGCAAAAGCTGTGCTTTGGAATATTTGATACAGACATATATCCAGGTACCAGGATTCCTTGTTGTGCTCACTGACATTCGCTCCCATTCACATTAAGCAAGTGCAAACTACTGAAGAATTTGACAATGCTCTTCCCATGTGTTACCACAGTCCCCTTCATTACGCGCAGGTTTCTGTATGTTTGTGTGAACTGAAGTGCAGTTCCATTATTGCAAATGTATGTGTGCTCAATCAAATTTTGTTCAAATGAATTTCATTCCAAAGTGAGCTCTCAGCTTGAGAGACTCTAGCAAAGCTAAATTCTTGCAGCTGTGGAAGTGTATCAGAGCAACTTTCACACAGACAGAAAGGATTTAGGTCAAATGGCCATAGCCACAGTAAAAAAAACCTGCAACTGATCCTAAGCAAGGACTGGTACTGAGACACATCATTTGTGGCACACTGACAGCACCAAACCTCTCACTACACTGTGGGTTTAAATTGCCTGAGTCTGAACTTCTGATCCATGTTACAGATAGGATAGAGCTCCTTTCTACATCTCTCTTGCTAAATTATTTTAACTACTTCATTAACCTCACCATCCTCCTTCAAGATGCTGCTATAAGCCACTCAGAAGAGGTTTTGTCTAAAATACTGTGTTGACTTTTCTAATATATTTTTACTATTATTATACAAATATATGTAACATATTTTTGACTATTCTAATATGTTTTCTAATATAGTATCCTGCCTTCCAGGGAATAATGGTGCTGGTACATTTGTGTTGTCTATTTAATTTGGTAGGAAAAACATGATGTCACATGCCTTTGAAGAATTGCACCTGCACAGCACAGAATTCAATACTCAAAATCTTCATAAAATGATTTGTTTTCTAAATTCAATTAATGCCCACAGCTCAAAGGACTGCTGCACAGTCAGAATGAATAGTTGTTTGGCTTTCACCTGAGCTGATCACAGCACTGGAAGTGTTTGGTCCAAATCTCTTCCACAGCAAATCACAAGGCTGCAACTTGGGAAAGTTACACCAATCAATAATGTAACTGTCATATATACTTCTGGGCTCCCACGAGATAAAAATGCCATCATCTGTGCCATTAACCTGTCCTTCCTTAAGCTTTTTGGTGCCTAGGAATGAACAAAACAGAATCTCTTATTATTGTCCTGCATGACACTTTGGACTCATACACGAAGATCAGTACAGTTCCTACACTAACCAGTTGAAAACAACAATAAAAGTGTTGCATTCCTCCACTAAATGCCATATAGGGTCTTTCACATGCTGAAAGCTAACAGGTCAGAAACCATCCAGTAATTGTTACTATATATTCACCAAAAAAATCATCTGCAGAAACCTAGAGTCAGAGGGTCACATGAGGCTAACCACACTGGCACTGGCTGCACCATTAAGGCACCTACTGCAGGTCTGATGCCCTAGTTTTAGGCTAAATGTATTTTGCTCTGTGAAGACATTATCATTATTATCATTATTATTAACATTATCATTATTATTATTATTATGAAGGCATTTCACCTCAATAAACATACAGCTGCCACCCTGTATTAGAAAATACAGTCATAATTTTCAGACAGCAGTGACATGAGTTAAGAGGTAAGGTCAATATATTGTCCAGGATGATAAATTATGACTTCACTCAAAACAGGTAGAAACAAAGCTCTAATAATGTAATTATAACTGAAAATACTCCTACTGTTATCTGTAGCTCTAGAGATGATCAATACTGAAGGAAATGAAAAATTAACATTGTTCTTTGCCATGATACTGATTCTATAGGAATGGTTATCAATGAAAATCCTTGTGCTGTTGTAGACTGAAGAAAAGGAGATGCTTTCAGGCTTGGAACCATCTTCTATTTTTTCCCAGGTTACTTCATAGGAAATTATTTTTCCATTTGCTTGAAAACTTGGTGTTTGCTGAGAAAAGAAGTTATGGAGGAAGAGAATAACTTGGTAAATTTTCCTGAAAAAATATGAGAGGATCATTTAGAACTTTAAATAACTAACAGGATGTGTTATTTCTATAAGAATATAAACTCTTGTTTCCATACATTCATACATACACTGGTTGAAATCGAAATGCAGAAGTCTTGGTAATGGTATCTGACTTGTTCTAATACTTAGAAAAACAGAATTGCATGTTTGAAATTCCAGGACAGCACACCATCATAGCTCCATGTGTTCTGAGATATTTTATATACAGCTTGTTTTAGGTTTATAAAAGACATTTTCATACTGAATTGCTATCAGCTGCACACAAATCATGGGAGAAATTTCCAACCCCTTTATGAAGGTCATTGTTTCTTTTTCCATAGGGATGTCTCACCTTCCAGAACAAGGTCACATTTCGTCCCCCCAGAACTGGTGTAATTTCTCTCCATATGTCCAGTTTCCCTGATGGAGCTGCAATAAATATAGCAAAACAAGAAAATTAGAATGCTCTGGGTGCTGAAAGGATAAGCAGTTTAACTGCTTCCTCCCATTCAAAGAAACCCCACTCACAACACCTCCTTTTCCCCATCACTCCCAGGTCTTGCCCAAATATTATCCTTTAACGTAATTTTCTCTTTTTCTGAATTAAAGTCTGCTTAATTTCCCTAGAAAATCTTTGCTTGCAGTCACCAGACTCTTGTTCCTACATCTGCACTATTCCTCCAGGCCTCACAGGGCACTGTAACTCAGTCTGTCCATCTTCCCAGCCAGCTGGATTTCCCACTGCCTGCACTGGAGGTGATGTCCAAGACATTCCCTATAGGAGGTAGGCTGACAATTATTATCTTCTTGAAGTTTGCTTAGCACGTTTCTTTTATGCATGCAACAGACCTCTGCTTTAGCTACACAGTGGAAGAGTAACAACAAGCAGCAAAAAGAGGTGGCGAGCACGGAGCATCCCTCAAACTTTGCTTCTCAACAGGTTGGACATACTTCCTTCCTTTGTTCTGGTGGTCAGGGGTTGGCTCCACTCACTCCACCTCCAGAAGTGCTTGGCCGCCCCGCAGCGCACCCTGGCCGTGTACTCAGTGTACGGCTGCAGCCCACGCACCGTGACACGCTTTGAGTCCACCTCAGAGCTGTTGTGCTGCAAAACACAAAAGATACACCAGGCACAGCTCAGAACAGTGTCCTCAGCCAGGTGTTCTTCACTGAGAAAATAGCTCTTCCTCTAGAAACTCCAAAAGAGCTAGTTAGGCTTCACTTGGGAAAGACAGTCATGGAACAACAATCAAAAAAAGCAAATAATGCACAAGATCAAAACAGTGGGAGATCCAAAAAGAGGGCTGGAAGCCACCTCTGTGTAACTGAGGTGTTCTGAGCATTCAGAATCCTCCACATGAGTACTTTTTACATCCAGAAGGCAATTTACTGAGACCTTGCCCTCATAAAGTCTTCGGCTATTACCTCATATAAAAGTAGGATGTTCCAGATCTATGTAGAGAAATCTGCAGCTAGCTTTTTCTTCCATTTTTTTCCCCAGCCTTTACCCCACTCTCTCCTACGAGACAGAATGAGTTGTAGTAAGAGTCAAAAAGCCAGCATGCTTTTAAGCCTCTCCTCAGAACTGTCTCCTGCAATGGCCAGCTGCAGTGGTCACCTGATCTGACAGCTCTTAAGCTACAATCAGGACAGAACACAGCTTGACTGTGATCTTCACTGTGCCTTTTTAATGTGCTAAGGCAAGCTGCCTTCTAAGAAAAGAGCTACAGGGAAGTAGCATGGGAAAAGGAGATGGGCAAAGAGCCCATCAGCCTCACTGTTTGTGGAAGAGGTGAACAAATTAAGGAATCTACTCAAATTGTCTTCATGGAGATTGAAGAGGAAGGGAAGAAAAAGTGTTCTGGGATTCCATCACTAGAAACCAGACTCACTACCGTCAACTACAGTCAATAGCACACAGAAAAAGCTTGGACTGATACAAAAGAAATCTTCAACACTGCTCTGTTGTGGGTGAAATAGCATGAGCAATAAAAACAAATCAAGATTACCAGTAGCTAATATATATATATGTATTTATAATACAGCTTTACAATTATTAAGCCCTTCAGTATTTTCACTAACTTCAACAAATCTCAGAATCCATCCAACAGAGCACTGAGCCACAGTCAGACCAGTTAACACCACATACTTCTGGCAGAGTACAGACAGTGTTTGAAGTGTGAATTAGAGACAAGAGTGGCTGTCCATATGGACCACATAATCAGTGTAGAGCTTGGGAAGCAAACAAATCCAGAAAACAAGCACATCAACATGCTCACAAGATTTACAGTGCATTTGTATTGCTAGGGAATTATTTTTTAATAACATCAGAAAGATCCTCACTATATTTTTGTTTAGGAAATTCAGGTTTCATACCAGTTCTACTTTGCCATCAGGTTGGAGCACTTCAGTCTGACAAAAGAGGTCAATTTCATAGTTTTCATAATTCCAGTGTAATGTAATTTCTGTATCTGTGCAATCTTCCCAAACCTGGAAAGGTGCAGTGGGATAAACTGGCAACAGAAAAACTGAGTTAGCTCTTGTAAAACATAAAATACATGCAATAGTATGTTAATATTAATATTTTAGCTGAGTAGTAAAATTTTTTTCTCCTAATCTAGAAGAAACATGAATTATAGAACTTCATTTCAGAATGTGAATGTAAATGTAAGTAAATATTTAAAGGTTCAAAAAAAAATCCTTGTGCTGACTTAGAAATGTTTTAAAACATCATGGACAAAAGAAAGAAACACATTTATTGCAAACCATTAAAATTCTCTAATTCAGTGCTTGGCAGAAATTCCTGATGTAACATGGTAAAATTTGACACATTTCTACAGCCCAGAATTGGGCCTCTTTGACAGAAATTTTATTCACAACTCTAACACTGACTCCTGTCACTGTTATCCTCCGGTAAACAGTGCCAGTTCTACTTCTTCCAGAAAATTTCTGAGATCCTTTACTGCTATATAAGAGTATTCAGCAAGTGAAGTAAATCCCAAACTTTCTCACATTATCTGTATAATAATGAGAAATGCAATGCAATGTGAGGGCATGGCAATGCAAGTGAGTACTATGCTTATACCCTTGGCCATTTATCCTAAAGCTTCATGAATTACATTGCTGAATTACACTACTCCATGAAATACAATTTGAGGACTTTCACACTCAAAAGATTTTGTCTTTTACATAGAAGGTCCAAATTACCACATGCAGAATTGGAAACAATGGATTTACTTACTGTCATCCTTTAAGTAAGGAAAGTTCTAATGTAAATATTTGCAGGATCAGAGAAAACATGGAGGATTTCACAGGAATCACTATTTAAAAGCTTAACTCATCACACATATTATACATAATTTCTTTAACTTGCAACCATCACTAGGACTGGAAAATAATATTCTAGTAAAATTTTAATGTACTTATCACACTGAATGTAAACTATTCTAGCCTGACTTCCCATGAAAACTGAGTTTATGACATTGTGTTGTCTCCCTACAACCTGTCAGTTTACTCCTCCACTTTCCTGACCTGTTCCTTCCACTTCCAAACAATCAGATAATCAAATTTTAGAATTCTTATGCCTCAGACATTTAGCATAAGTTCCTTCATATAAAAAAGCATGGCTAGCAAAACTGTCAGCAATGCCTCTGAGGAAGGAAGCATTGCCAGGATGCAGCAGTTACACCATCAGCCTCATAGGCCATTGTCTTGCCAGCTTCCGAGCTGCACAAAGCACATGTTGTCTCCTGGTTCTTCAAACAGGTCAGGCAGTCACTGAACCTGGGGAACACTGAAGAAGACTCAAGGAGAACTGGAAATACTGCTGGAGAATGAAGAAATATCCACCTGTTTTGAGGCAGGAGCAGGAAGGAATTTATGGGACCTGGAGCCCACTGGGTCATTCCTTCATAAAGGACACAACTACTAGGGAATAAGGAACAACAGCCATTAGATATTCCTCAGAGAATAACCTGGCTTTTGTCACTGATGAACTACTCTTCCTCCCTTACAAAAGCACAGTGGAAGTTATTGTCCCATATTAGGACGAAGAACAGGTTAGCACCATCACTTCTTTCCCAGCAATAGCTCTTACACATGTACCACATCTCATACCAATTTCCAAGTAACCTACACAGATATTTTGCTTAAACTCCCCATTTTATATCCTTCCATCATTTTGCTTTCTCTTCCACTAACCAGCTTCAGCAAAGCAGCAGATTTTGAACCATTAAGGGCTCATTCCAATAACCAAATCTGACCCTTGGAGTATAAAGCTGTTTTCTACTGTTAATATAACTTTCCAAAGCTGAAACTGAAGAGAGAGCAGATAACTATAGCACAGGGATAGATAAGTTATTAAACCTTGAAGATAAAAATCAAGGACTTCCATACTTCAAACCAAGACACAGTAATATCAAGCTCAGAAGGAGCAACAAAAAGCCCTAAACAAAGACACAGAAAAAAGCCTTACTTCTGTGATTTACATCAAAAACATCTGCAACAGTTTTCTTTCCCAGTGGGTTTTCCACAGTCACTGTGACATTCCAGATCCACTGCTGGCCTATATCCCAAGAGCAGGAGCACTGCTTAGAACAACTTGCTTTGCACAGAGGTGTTTTCCGGGATGACCTATCAAAGAAAGGGAGAGGTAGGAAGCGGGGAAAAGAGAGAGAAAGATGTTTTCCATAATATACAGTCAACATAGGTCTTGGAAGTTTCTGATGTCCAATTAGTATACAGCATCATAAAAAATAAGGCTGAGGGACCTTATGTAAGAAGTCACCCACTTCTTTCCTTTGGCTTGAAATATGATGAGTAGAAATACTTTTAAAATAGAGTTTCCTTTGAAATATCCAGGTTTGTCTTTTTAAGATACAGCTACATTGCTTTTAGAAATTTCCTTACTGATTGTCTAAATCAAGGACTTATTTGCAAAGACTTAAATAATTTACATGTTTACCATTACGCTTTTAAATGAAGTTGTAATTTCAACTGCATCTTGAAGTGCATCTTCTAACCTTCCATTTTTAAATCACCATTACAGTATCTTTAAGTGAGTGATGTGGAGACCAGGAAGGTATGTGCAATGCTGGCCTGTTTTCTGCTGAGATCTTTTGATGAAGGTTTGCTGTGATTATGAGGTTTCTGTCCTGGTTTATGAGTTTCCCTTTCTCCGCAGGCCTTGCTGTAAAGTCCCTCTCCTCATGTAAGGGCCATGTCTGATACACCACAGCTATGTAGCCTTGACTTTAGCCTTGTCTGCTAAAGAAAGAGCTATGAGAAAGTCTGCAGTTAATTTATTTTTTTTTTTAATAAAGAAGCCAGCTGAAACTACAGAAATTATAGACACAAGAAGGATATTTGAGATAGGACTGTCAGTAGCTCAAGGACTCAAGAAGGAAAACATCAGCGTGTAAAGCTCTAAAATCCTAAAGAAAGACAACTAGGGAGGTTAATCAGGCGGAGTGCTAACTTTGAGTCAGCATTAGTGTCAATGGATCATGAGCACACTAATACCCAGCCTACCAGCTAATCAGATCCTACTTATCTATTGTGTGTGCTACCCAATAAGTATGTTGTACTTTTAAGTTATCTACATCCTGATGTCAGGGTGTCTTCATACCTACTGAATGCTATCCAAATATATTAACTCAAAAGAGTGGTTAGAATAAGCTTTATCAGGCAGAACTTGATCTAAACTTTGTTAAAGTGAGTCTGATTCAGAGCAGTTCTGCACTGCTCAAGCTCTGTTAAATAAGTGATCAGTGAAGTGGAAAAATGCAAGCAGCTAATTACATGAAGAAAAAGCATTTCCACAGATTCTAAAGGAAAGAAGGAAAGAAGGTGAGTGTTTGGTACAACACAGATCAGAGTTAGAATAACAATAAGACTTACGTTTTAGACAAGGTGTATCGTGGTAAATTCTGTCCGTAGAGATAGGTCTCTCCTTCTGTCCAAGTACATGTTACTTTTTTCATGTCTTGAGTTTGGCAGTAAAAATCTTTAGGTGTATCAGGTGGTTCTTGTCAGATGAAATAACCAAAAACCAAGAAAATCATGGTAGTCAAGGCAAAGCTTATCAACCTCTTTAATACATTAACAAGCTAGAAATAATAGATAAGTATGAAGTCTGATTTACTATAGATGTTGTTACTGAAATTACGCTTATTCAATGACCACTGCAGAGATAGCCAGGATAATACCATGAGTCAATACAAATCAAACACTTTTATATTCTAATATCATTTTTTTATACTCATCCATTCATTTAGTCAATCTGTATTCTTTTCTATGTTTAAAAATTGCTGTTAGCCTTTGAAAAGGAGACTGTGCTGAGCTTTTACCACATGCATATAGACAATGAAGTTGAATTCCTAAATGGGTGGGTATATTTGTGAATCAACCACCTGTCATAGGGCCAATTAATTTAATGCTATTTTTTCCTGCTTTCTCTATATAAGTTTACAGATCTCAAGTCAGACAGAGTTCGGCCAGACATGATGAGACCATGACAACTTACAGCAAGCTTTTTTCCCCGGTCCATTTTTTCTACAGTCATTCTTGAGTTAATAACAAGAGGAAAATAAAACTGCAAAAATGTGTTTACTTACTACCCACAAAGAAAGCTGCCTGATACAACCGCTCATCTTCATCGTAACAGTAGACATGTATGTTAGACCCTTTGTCATGTGATAGATTTTCCACAGTGAGAAGTCTGACTTGACTGTTCGTGTACTTGAAAACATCAACAGTTGGGTATACAGAGAACTCCTTAATGGTTTGACCTTTCCCTCCTATGCAGCAAAGAGTGATATCAGAGCCTTCTGCTAAAAATTTTTCTTTTGGAAAGATTTGTGGCCCACTTCTATTTGAAGTGTCCAGGCCTGCAAATTAAAAAAAAAACCAAAATCTGCTCAAGGCAACAGTCTTCAGTCAGACCACAAAATTAAGAATTTACACATGAAATGGCTAACATTACATTATCCACTCATAGACTTTCATTCAGTATTCTTTCCAATATAGAGATTAATTTCACATGTAATAATACCTTTCTCTTAAAGTCTTAAACATGTAATGTAGTCCAACAAACTACCTAAGAGACTAAATCTGTTTTACTGCCTTTCACTCAGAGAAAACAAGTTTTCTGTCAAGAATTGCCTTTACAAAGACCATCACCTCCTGCTCGTATGTACAGGCTATTTATTGTTTATATCCAAAATGCCTGCTCTTGAAGACAAGGTGTATCATGGCAAATTCTGTCCGTAGAGATAGGTCTCTCCTTCTGTCCAAGTACATGTTACTTTTTTCATGTCTTGAGTTTGGCAGTAAAAATCTTTAGGTGTATCAGGTGGGTCTTGTCAGATGAAATAACCAAAACCCAACAAAACCATGGTAGTCAAGGCAAAACTTACTTGGAGCAGTGGTCTACAACAACATCACAGTCTGATGCTTGTGCAGAGCTCAGCTAAGAGGAGTCAACATTGACTCAATCAGATTAGTCAGGGGATAATCAACTTGGAATGAGAGTCCCGTAGCTTTCTATGTTGGACTGCTTGCTGGATGGAAAAGTTAGTAAAATTGAAGTGACTCACAGCTTTTTACACATATTGCACAGGTAAAATGTAGTCTCAAGAATCTGATCAAAAAACCTGGTGACATTTAGAGCTACTGTCTTTCAGAGAGCTCTAAATCAAGTCTGTAAAGTGGGATCAGTTTGTGACCAAGAAATAGTATTTTTGAGCCCTACCCATTCACAACTGAAAAAAATAAAATCTTCAAGACTGAGGATATTATGGGACAAAAAAGAGTCTTCCATCCTACCATCCTTCCATTCCTATCCTGTCCATAATATAACAAGAGGGAGATGAGTGCCATAATCCAAGTATGAACACCAGTGACCCCTCTTCTACATACATTATGTCTCCAATATCTAAAAGCCCTTGCTGTTCCAAATGAGTGTTTCATTATAAAATCACTACAGTATATTTTCTAAAGTAGTTAGATATTTTGTTTAAACAAGATTCCCTGGGAGCCAAACTGCTCTAGTAAGACATGGTAATAAAAAAAGAAGATAAATTTTATGTCATTAATTACATTATCGGTTCACTCCCTGTTTATTCTTATATAATTCACAGGACATTCATTCCAAGTGAAATAAGGAGATGACTTGTTCCTTTTTCTCTGCTTCTGTAATACCAATTCAAACTATGAATTCCAGACAAAAGCAACAAATTCATCAGATTATGTAGCCCCTAGCTATGTACTTCCTCTCCTTTCCCTGAGTCTGGGCCAGGGATGTGCCTATCCAAGATCCCTTGTCACTTCATCTACTACATTGTTTTAAAGTGTGAATAAAAACAAAGTTCCAGAACTTTTGGTCTACTGGCTTAGGAAGATAGTCTGCAAATTATAGCAATGGCTGAAGACCTGCTATTACTGCTGGTAAAATATAAGGAACTGGTTAGTGCTTAGAGCAAATGGATTCTTCATATGATGCCATCTCTCCGGAACTATCCTCCATGGTTACATTCACTGGCAAATTACAAACTAGCTTTATACTTGGAAAAAAATCCAATATTGCAAAGTCTTGTTTTGCTTACCCGGGACAGTCTCCCACAAACTCCACTGACTCCAGATTTTTGATGATTTTGCCTTGCTCCTAATTCTCACAGCATGTGACATACACTCCAAAGGTATGTCTGAATCCCACGACCAATGAAGAGGTTTTCCCAATTTATCAAGTGTGACATTATGAAACTCCTAGAAAAAAAAGACCAGTAAGGCAAAGTATCGAAAACACATCAATGTGAAGATTTGGAAATACAGTCAAAAGCAGTGAGAAAGATCAAAGGAGAAAATGCTTTTGAAAATTGATGTCTGAAACTCCACTAGCTACATGTGATCTTACAGTATCTAACTACTCAGCTAATCAGCTGCTTACAGATCTGTACTAGCTGTGGTGGAGTGACTGATGTGTTAACATATTTGAGAGTGAGATCCTACTTCTCATGATATGGATTTGCTCTCAGAGACTTTCAGGATGTTATTTGTGTCTGCTATTACATAAGCTTCTCCCTACAAATGCATCCTAGTGCTCTGGGTTACACATCCCTGTGGTGGACTCACTGTCCCTGGAGTGATTTAAAATATGTGCAGATTCAGCGTTTAGAGATGTGGTTTAGTGTGGACTTTGTATTGCTTGGTTAATGGCTGGACTCAATGATCTTAAAGAATTTTTGCAACCTATGAGATTCTATCATTCTACATATTTTAGTACTTTTATAGCAACCATTCCAGATTCTCAGCATACAGATCAGTGCTGTTCATATGATTTTGTATCAAAGCCCTGACTCACATTGACCAGTAGAGAACTTCTCTCCAGTACTTCTTTCCATCAGCAACACCTCCACTTTCATATTACCACTGCTCTGAGAAAAAATCTGCCATTAGCTCAAAATTTAATTTCTCAGTTATAGCCCTGAGTGTGAGAAATGGCATTGTAGAGGATTCTCAGGGCCTCACTGAAAGCTTGCATAGTCTTGGACATCTGTATACAATCTCTGAGATAAGGTGTGCTGACTTAGCTAGACCATGGAATAGAGAAGACATTGTTGAGAAAAAGATTGAACTGGAAACAAGTTTCAAATGATGGCCTTGCAAACAGACCAGATATTTTAGAGTACAAGAACTGTGAAAGATGCATTGTAGCAAGACCACATGGGGTAAAATACCAGGTGATTGGTGTTAGAAGTGTTAGCAGCACTGTGTGGCAAAACCTAATAGTCTGAAAAACATTTATAAGGTATTGTAACCAGGAAACAGGTTGTCTTCTGATGAGATGTCATTGAATGCAACATCTTAAAGGTCTCTATGAGACTGATAATGGAATAAAATCTTTTAAAGCTTCTCTCAGCTGCCCCACCTCTATAGAGTTGGGTTCTTCCAACACTGAAGAACGTGGCCACTGCTCAAGAAGTAATGCAGGCTGTTCATTCTTTGGTATGAGCAGACTCACAGAGTTTCCTTATTGGTACACTTACTTCAGAAAAGCACAGAAGCAAATATATTCCTGTACGGTAATGACATCCAAAGTAACTTGTCATGTTTATTATGAATAACAGAACAGACTACATCCCTGGATTTGAAACACTTTTACTTTCCTCCAACAAGTTAATAAGAATTCATTGAAGGACACTTCAAAAAACCCAAAACTTAATTGTATGTAGTTATATGTCCCTAGTTATTGACTTCAGGTGTTGGAATCTGAAATAAAAGCCTCTCTGAGTCCCTCAGACTGAGAAAAGAACAAAAATATATTAAACTTCATAGACATTAAATAAGAGTGTAAGTTTAAGTAAGTAAAAATACAGTTTAAATGAATTAAGAGTCTGGGTTACCTAGTGAAAAGCCTTAAGGCCTAGTTTAAAGTTTAGTAATGACGCCCTTGACAGATTCAACTTAGTTCCAGACATAATGAAAACATAGCTTGCATTCTTAGAACAGATAGGATTATTCACGTAAACAGATAATACTCAACATGTAGGATTTAGGTAAGGACTGACACACCTTTTGCATGTTAGAATTAAGCTTAGATTGGTGTAGAAAGAATGTTTTAGAATCGTTTTTTTAGCTGATTGGATGATTTACAAATTTAATCCCCTGTATTAAGAAGAGGCGCACACACACATACAGGAAGAGAAAGAACAGTAGTACCAATAACATTACTAGAAGAAGAGCTACTCCAACTGCTTCTGCTGCTTCTGCCCAGATCATCTGGACTTGCCAAGAAGCTGCTGCCGCCCAGACCTCCGGGACCTTATGCCAAAAGATTTTAGCATGGACTTTAATACTTAATACTCTGAACTCTTTACCTTTGAGATGCACCCATACAATAAACACCTTTATAGCAACCAACAGTTGCTCTTTTCTCCCCGAGACCCAGAGACCCCCATGAACAACTCAACATTCAGGGTTAGATCTACTCATTGGGCTAAAAATCCTATCCAGAGTATCAAAGAGGTAAAAATCTTCAGAACTGTGCAGAGCTCATTTGCAGTGAAGAGGTGGCTCCTCAAAATCAGAGACAAAACACCACCAGCTAGGGTGGTCAAAGTAAGCTGTGATTTTTAACAGTGTCTATCTTATTTTATTGATCACTGACTTCAGAAAAATAAGACTTAGTCTGTTTTATGTACTTTCTGGCAAATAGCAACCCTAAATGAGTTAGTGCAGTTTTTCAGTTATACTGTTTTAAACTTTCTTTGGAGACTGTTCCCATACAGAAGTTGCAAACAGAAAAGCACCCAGAACAGACCTAATTTGGGTGATCTGCTCTTCAGAAAATGCTGCTGGTTTAGATGCTAAGGGAAACTATCAGGACAGAGTCCCTGCTAAAAAGACATCACATCTTCCATCATTGTAAATTGTTGGAGTCTGAGATACAGAGTGTATGCCCTTGTTTCTGATACTTAGTTATAGGATTCAAAAAAACACTGAATTTCATATAATATGAAATTCATGAGCATGTTTTCATGGTGATACATGAAAACAAATGTTAAAGTTAGATAGAAAAAGCTAAAAGTGTAAGTGTGTAGATAGAAAGTTTCTTTAATCACTGGGTGAAAAAGTTAGTTTAGAGAACAGGAGACATGATGGAGGATTTAGGGTGTTGTCCCTTGCCCCTTCTTCTTTCTTCTTCATGTTCTTCTCCTAGAGGTTTTTGGGTAATAGTAAGTGATTGGATAGAAGATGCCGCAGTGCATCACAGAGGTGATGGGTCATTGGGTCATTAAGAAAAATAATATACATGTCTATTTTTAATTGGGTAAAAATAGGTATAAAGATAAAAGAACTGCGTAGTTCGGGGGCATTTTGTGGGTCAAACACGAAGTGAGCCACAAGGCCTTGTTTGTACCATCAGAAGAAAGAAATGTGCCAAATTGCAAAAATTAACCTTGTATCCAGCCTGGAGAGACCTGTCAAGTTTTGTAAGGATCCTTCAATAAACACAAGAAACAAGATTCTAACGAGCTCGGGAGTTTTCTTCGAATTATAAGGACTGAGATAAGTGGAATTCCCCACGAGGGAGGATCCCAGAGGAATTCAGCCCAAAGGAGGCTGAAAGACTAGAGAAAAGTTGTATCCACAGAGAATTCAGCCCAAAGGAGGCAAAGAGGAGATAGACATTACATAAACGACTAGTACACTTCTTTTCTAAGTACACTTACTGTCCACACCATTGTAGCTTCATCGAGTCGACGGACTTGTATCTCAAAAGATATTGCCAGCTCAGCATCATGTGCTGACTTGACAACATCCCATTCCACCAACAGCCGCTGAAGATCCAAATCCTTGGAAACGTTAAGGTATGTTACTGGAAACACATTGGATTCTAGGAGCACAAAAAGGGCACAAAAATATTACTGTCTAGCTAAGTTACAAAGCAGTTCTGAAAAAACAGTGGTTAGAAGTAAGATAGGTCCCACAACAGATGACTCTGAAGGAAAAAGCAGAAGTGATAGGTTTCCTGAATCTATACAATACCTCCCCAACATGATATTTGGTATGCTGTTTAATTTCTTTATGCTTTAAATTTACTAGCTGTTTTATCAGAATACAAATCCATTCCTTCATAATCTTCTGGAGGGGAACAACATAATGTATCAAGAGGGACCAAATCCCAAAAAATCTCAAACCCCAGCAAGCCTTCATATCATTAGGGCAGAAACTCTGGGCTCAGTTTTGATCTCTGACTTAATCCAAACTAAATGAGTTAATGCAAAACCAATATTTGAACAGAATAGGTTAAGGGTTTCCCTGCAATAGCTAGCTTAGATGATAGTCTAGTATTAAGCACATTCCTAGTTGCTCTACACAGAGCTTAGGTCATGGCTGTAGATTCTTCTACTGGAGTTAGAAATCTAGTTCTTATGGCACTTGCATCATCCTCCTGGTCTGGATTTAATTCCAGACCATAACATGATAAATTAAAGTTTAAAAGTCAGACTGAAGTCCCTTTTGGTGTTGAGATATAAAAGACCCTGAAAGATTGTTCTGCTGAAAACTAGAAACAACCATGTAAGTGGTTCCTCTTTTAGATGATTCCGTTATGACCCCTCCCTAAAAACCCAAACTGCTGGAAGACATGAAATATAGCACTCACAGATTTGTCATTTCTCTACTTCCTGAAAATTAAACAAACAAACTTTAATCCCCTAAATTTGACCTAGTTGTTATTGAAGCCAGGGAGCTTAACCATCCAAGTAACTAGGCTTTTTCTTTTGCCACGGGTGCTTTCCAATGTGCTTCTGCTTGTTACAAGATCAGAATATTTATCCTAACCAAGACACAGGGAAAAAAGTCACCAAAATAGCTGCACCTTTTAATAAAGCAGAACTCATTCTGTGCATTCCTGCCACATTACAGCCAGAGTCATCAGGGACACGACGGTCTGAGTGACCTCAGCAGCCCCCTCTCACAAAACTGTCACTTCCACTCCAGTCTCCCAGATACACTTCACCCACTGAACTACCTGAGACTTTCACCCTGTATCACTAGCAGAAACACAAGCATTCAGGAGATTTAGACTGAGAATCTACATTTTGATAGATACTTCTGGTAGCCATCACATATCCAAATAATTCTGCAATTTATCCTGCAGTATGTGCATTACCTTAACCTCTGTGCAGCAGTTTTCAGACACAGGGATTTTTACATTAGGAGAAGAGAATGAAAGGCTTAGGAGAAGCAGCAGTTATAACAATCTTTGGTCAATCAAAGGAAGTAAATAAAACTTTATAAGCATATTTGTTAATTATGAGAATACAGACACTGACACAACTTTGTTGTTTATATTAGTCCAGTGTATAATTAAAGAATAAATGGAGAAAATTTTACCATTAGTACAAAGTTATTAAAAACTGCTGGAAGAAAGGATTCTCTTTTAGAAAATCATTCAAAAAAAATCTGTTGGGATATTTTTAATCTATTCCATTCTCAAGACTACTAGAAGTCAGATCAAAATGAAAACCATATGCTTTCCATCTAGAGGAAGCTACTGGTACAGGCATCTTCAGATAAGCTTGAAGAAATCAAGTTTCACTGGTCAAACACATGGTCCTCAGAACAAGGACTATGATAACTTCAAGTGTTTTCAAGAAAGAAATATATGCAACACACCTTCTATAAAGTTTCAAAGTTTACCAGGAAATGATTAACATGTAAATTACATGAAAGCAGAATTGACAACCTTAGTGTCTCTGCAAGGTAAGTGCAAAATGTTTCACATGCAAAAATAAATTTTCCTTATTGGCTATGGTAACGACACGATCCTTAAAAAGTGTATCTGCTGCTTCACAGCTGCTTTTGAAAAACAATGGGCATCAGTTTTATACTGCCATAACAAAACCCAGTACTATGACAATAACTTTCTGAAACTGAATAAACAAAGTGGAAGGCCTTGGGGTAAATTTCACTGAATGATGATGGAGCATCAATTTTAGGTTTTACCGGAAAATAGAAATATTATTAGCTTCACTGCCAACAACTGACTAGGCAAGGAGCCAGAACAACCAAAACAACATAGAGATTCATAAAATTAACTGTGGAAGTGGAGTATTATTTTATTTTGGGAAGATAGGACAAAACACACTTCATTTTCCCACATTTTACAGACTTTCACCATCAAAACAAGCTACACACTGTTAAAATCCTTTATGCTAACAGATTAACTGTAATGTTGTTCATCTCCAGTATGCAATCTCAGCTGCTCATTTTCTGGCCAACCTTACTTGTACATTCATCATCCATTTACCTAAAGCACCATGTAGCAAATCCCTTGGGGAATCTCATTTCACATACACAAGCTGATCTAGAACTCTGGGCCTTGCCATTATTGTTTTTTCTATCTGCACTGCTGAAGCAACAGAGGAAGAGAGGAACTGGGAGAAGGAAAGGGCCCTGCTAGTCTCTCAATGAAATTCAATGGCACAAAATGAGAGTCCAGGGAAAGGAAACAAATACACCTGAAAAAAAGGCCAGGCAGTTGGCAGAAGCCCCTTTCTTTTGCAGGGTGCACCATTAAAAGACATTTCTGCATATCTTCTGTACTTCTCTACCCTCTTTCTGCTCTTTTTTCAGCTGATTCAAATTGCAGATGTCACTATTATGCCTATTGTGTTGATGAGCTTACATCTCCTCCCTGCATCTGTTTTTATTTTTATCCAAATGAAAATATCATCCCTTTCCTCACCATAAATAATATTTCCACCTGCCACACTTTGTTTGATTAAAAAAACAGCAAACGTGTAATTAGTTACTGTTTTTCTCCGTCTGTACTAGTGTCCATCCACTATCTCTCTTCAGCTACATGACATATCACTTCACACCTCACACTACTTTGTTTTCCACAGACTCTGGCGTAAGACAGTCTAGATCATCAGTTGGTGCTTATACACAGTACTAAAAAATAGAAGAAACAATATAGTTAAGGATATATCCAAAATTTTGATGACCAACAAGTTGCAATGTAGGTATTAAATAATTTTATGGCACAATTTTAACATGTGAAAATATTTGCAGCATTCACAGTTACAATATTCTCTCCTAGCAAAATTAAGTGATCAAGGCATCTTAAGACTTGTTTTAGCTTGCAAGCTAACACAAGACCATGTGAATTGTTATGATTAACAACACAGACTAATTTTATTCCTGAAAAATTGCATGTGAAAACAAGTGACCAAGTTACTGTAATGAAGTAACTGTTTGGACTTGCCTGCATTACAAAGTTTTGCCATTCTATGAGCCCTAGTAATAAGTCTCAAAACTGAGGCTTGGGTGAGTGCTGTGCAAACGCTGAATTTCAATGCTGAAGAGAGACAAAATGTAATAGATATATTACCCTTTCAGTATGATAATAAATGTATTTTAAAAAACCCAAACAAGTCTCTTCTTTCTTCACCAAATTAAAAAAAAGGCAAGAAAATCTCCATAGTGCAGACTAGAGCCTGGTAAGGTCTACCTTCTTAGTGGTAGTCATAGAAAGGTCATGTAAAAATTTTCTTTTTCCTTTTAATGGAGACATACCCAAATGCTATTGCTAGCAGCAAGTACACAAGAAGTATTTTTATCTGAAAATACCCTTCTGCAAAGTTATCATTATATTCAACATTTCCCCCTTCAAATATGCATATTTTTGTATTTATATTGGATAAATATGTGAAATGTAAAAAATAAAAATCTGGTCTTGGAATCTTGTGGCAGAATGAGAAAAGAGACAACAGAACTGCTAAAGTTTTCAGAGATGAGACAAAAAAAATAGAAAGGAAAGAAGAAAAAAACATAAAAGTTGTTAAAAAGGAAACAAATTATTTGAAGATGACAGTACAGATCATAGGAGAAAGAGGAGGAGAAAATAAATAAATACACTTTGGCTTCACATCATTGCAAGTTGTTGATTCAACAGGCAATTTTGTTGGAGGTCACAAAAGGTAATAATGAAATTTGCTCCATCATCTTACCAAAGTGAATAGTTTGATTAAATGTGTGATATGTTGCTTAATCAGAGATTTACAAATCATAAAGATGAAAGCTTCAGTTGCTGTAGATTGCTTCTAAATAAAAAAATCAAACATTCTGACATTTACCTTGCTGTGAGTATGTAGTGTAGCATGTCCTCAGGGGAAGCAGTAGTGCCAGAATCATGAAGTGATTCATCATTAGTCCACCTTTTCCTGCAAAAGGCTTAATAGCAAAGAAAACATTTTTATTTATTTGTTTCTTTCAGGAGAAATGCAGCATGCCAAACAATAGTCCAGATAATATTACTATATTTAAGAATGAATAAATAAAAATCCAATCATACAGGCTCCAGGAAGCTTAAGAGGAATTCAGGAAGAATGCACAAAGAAAGATAAGGAATGAAAAAAGTAAACCTCTTGTTTTTAGGACCTAGTTACAGCAAAGTAGCACTGTAGTCAAAAAGTTCAGTTGAGTCTAAACAAATCACACAGTATCTTTAATTTTTTATCCACTTATTTCAAATAAATATTGAAGTACAAGTTTGTCCTAATATCTTTTGGCTTTCTCCCTGCACAAGTAAGAAGATATCCATCCTAACAAGGGGAAAAGAGTATTAAAAGTGCAGAACACCTTGTGATTTCTGCTCCACCTACAGCCAGACTGATGAATTCAGCAGACTCCTTTGTCAGCACCCAGGACACTATATATGGAGGGCTTTAGTTAGACTGGAACACACATATAAAATCTTAGCAAGTTCCATTCCCAGATGGACTGTCCGCTCAAGAACCACAGAGCTCTATCTCGTATTCCATCTACAGTTTTGACACTCACACTCTGCCAGGGTGAAACTCTAACCTGCACAGCCCAGTTCTGAAGGACTGATTGTATGTTAGATCTCAGAAGACACGGACAACCTGCAAATTCCCCCATGCAGGAGGCAGAGCTTCAACATCAGGCTGCAGTATGGTTAAAGCTCTCAGGCACAGAGGGTACAAGGAGTAAAAACAACAGGAACAGGATAATGGATACAGCTATCTTTAACGTAAAACTTGTACCTTTTGCATTTCTGAAGCTTTGCAGAATACTGATAGTCTTCTATCACTACTTCCATAACTGACGTTGCTTAGCAGAAGATAACCAAAATGACCTGTCCCCAGTAAAGCTAAGAACAGAAAATCTACAGAGTTTAGAAGGGCCAGCAATTCACTATGGAATTTATTTCTAGCAGAAAACTCCTGATTTAATACCTCAGAGCTCCTGAATCTTAAGTTTAATAAGTTTAATTAGATTTAATAGTTTTGAGAATCTCTGAATTCCTCAGAAGGATAAAAGGAAAGACTTCAAACTTTTTTTTTTTAAATATGCTTCTAAAGCTCTCATGAACACTGTAGAGTAGCCTCGCCTGCAGCATTGCAACCCAGGGCTCAATGCACACAAGTGACCTTGCTGCAGTGGGCCCAAACTTCTCCTTGTGAGCTCAAATGCTACACATGGAGGCCCCCATATTTACCAGGTGACTGTTGCCATGCCTATTGCATAAGCTTCTGCAATCTTTACTGCCACTAACAGCCTCAGAAGTATTTATATATAACACTAAGATCACCATGTATGAAGAATCTAAATAATTTTGTGAAGCAAAGCCTAATTTGCATGCAACTATTAGACTATTCCAAAAACTGATTTAGGGAAATCTTTTTTTCCTAGATTTTCCAAGGGTTTTTAAGCACCTAAAAGGGAAAATAATTTTTTATGTATTGTCTGGAATAAACAAGACAATATAGAGAAGAGAGTGGTAAGTAAATAACACAAAAAGAAACTTTTTCAAGGCAGATCATGTTAAAACTTCCGGTAACTCCTTCAGCAGATTATTGTTTCTTGAATTGTATGAAAGTATATTAAGATTCAAAGCCAAATCTTATAAACTCTTTTTTTTCCCCCCCCAGGAAAAACGTGAAACTAAATCTGCTTTCAAAGTCAAAGGACTCAACTCTCTGCTCCAAGACAGTTTAACACAAGGGTGGTCAGTTAGGTTCAGCAGCCTATCTCCTGACTTAATTATGTCAGCATGATGAAAATCTGGCCCTGAAAGACTCCTAATTTTGTAAATATCTTTGGGGTTGGAAACACAGACCTTCCCCATTGGTTATGAATCATTTAAATCCAACATTAAAAACAGTGGGAAGGTACTGTGGAATACTGACATATTAGGCTATTTGTTTAAGTTTCTTCCTATTTGGAAAAAAAATCCCAACTTTTTTTATGCTCTTAAGAACCACTCTCAACTATTGTTATGAAACAAATGTCTAATTTAACTATCTAGCTCCAGTCATTTACACTACCAGTTCACTAATGTCATAGCCTAGATCACTTTTATTGATGAAAAATTCTTATGCTGCTAAAGAATAGTGTAATATAATAAATGATTACCAAAATAAAATGATATTTTGGATAGTGACAATAGTTTTCACTATCCGGTATGTTAGTAATCTAGTTTAATATATGCACAATTGTAGGCAACAAACCGTTTTCATGAGAAAAGTCCTAGAATTCTCTAACAAAAGAGAATATGAAGTAATTTTAAACAGTTCAGGAAAAACTAGTTGAGAAAAAATAAATAGGGTCCTTAATATATGAGTAATATTTTGAACTAAATCCTCTTTATTCAGAAACATCTGCCTATGACTAACAAATTAATCGCACATAATAATTGCCACCAATGAATGTCAAGCAATTATACTGTATTATCAATAATTAAGTACTTTTATAAAATCATAATTTATAAGTCTGTGTCTTAGCTACAGTTTTACAAAATACATTACCAATTTAATTATAAAAAGAAAAAAGGCAAAACCAGCAAAATTACAATAGATTAACATCCTTGCCAAAAGTCAAAAATAGGACAACAAAGGGAATGAAGACATGTAGCCAGAAAAGAGGAGATACTGAGTAGCAAGTTGAAGTCCATCTGGCACAAAATGATCCGTCAGAACTACAGATGTTAGCTGAGTAATAAATCTTTCATTTTTAGTGTACATTCTTATACCCCAAATTCTCTGGGGGAAATAAAGCAGACTTGCTTGGTTTTATCAGCCTTCAGGCTAAAACACTAGTTGTTGGGGTTTTTTTAAAACATAAATTCATAGTCTACTTAAAATTGTCCTGTTGGAAAAATGTAACCTGGGATGTGACAAAACCGATACAAAGGGATTCAGGACTCCTCTGCCTAATTTGAAATTAATCAGCACTTAAATAGAATACAACTATTTTGGAGACATGACAGCAACTGAAATAATATTCAGCAGCAACAGGAATTGTTTAGATTAAACACAATTAAAGAGGAGCCATTAGAGAAGCAGAGACAGCATAGGAGCAAATTACCTTTGAGAAAATGAAATTTCCTTACGGCTGTGAATATTTTAAATAAATATCTCCAGACAGAGTATTTCTCCTTCAGAGCTAAAAGCTGGTTTACATGATCCCTGAAGTCCTGTCCAAGCCAAAGTTTTGTGATGCCATGGATGAAATGAAAAAGAAATTCTCATTATTTACCTAGTAAATGCACCAAAGATTAACATTTCATCAAACCCCCCTTCAAAGTCACTGAAATACCAAAATTCAGTTGGGAGTTGGAGCTAAACAGTGCACATACTGTTGCAGCACCTGGAACACCTGTGTGTGTAAGAAAAGGAAGCTCCTGCTATGAATATCTAGTCAAAGCCTACTGCAGAGTTAATCTGTTTTGTAGCAATCTTCCTAAAGGCACATATTTCAAATCTTACTTAATACGACTTTGTTTTCTCAGTACCCTTTGCTTTGCTTATTTAAAACAGCTGCCAAGCACAAGCCAAATCCTTAAATGAACCTGAGCATGTACACAGGCTGAGAAAAGAAATCTTTCCAGTTCCAGAATATTTAATCTATTTAATGGAGAGTATTAGTTATGTATAATAACTCATAAACACTATGGACTGAACAAATTTTTCTAAACCATATATGGAAGAAGACTGTCAATGAGGCAAATCAAGTAGCAATACATAACACTGTTCATCCTGTGTTGTTATTCTCCCTGCTTCTGAGGGAAGCAAACTGAGGATCAGAATCACAATCCAAGTTTCTACCACAGAACACAAGATTGATAGCATAAGTGACATCTTAGTGCCAAAAATCTAATAAACTATCTACAGCCTACAAAGAGGCATCCCTAAAGAGTTAGCAGAGCACAGGTACACTACTAATCCTCCTGATGTGCTTTTTTTATCTCTTAAATAAAGAGATAATTAGGTAACTGTCAAAAGGAGCTGGAAGGCTCTAGAAGTCAGAGCTGCATGTCAAAGACTTTTGTACAAAGTCAATGATTTGTACAAAGACTACAATATACAGTGTCTCTGCTCTCCTGATTTCTGCAATTCCCAATAGACCCTTTCCCAAACCAACAGTGCAGAGCTGACATACAACTGAGGCAGTTTTCTTTAAACGGGAAGGAGTGTCAAGCCATCAGGAACCTATGGAGTGTTGGTAAAAGAAAACTAATATCTGAGATACCACATTCTTAAGTGGATGAATCTTTCCTCTAGTCCTTGTACTTGCTTTTTTTCCCCAAGCAATTTTAAAGGTGGTTGCAATTACACTTAGTACACAAAATACTTCTGTGTATAAGACACTGAAAACTCCTAATAAGCCTTTGTAATTTAATGGCTGAGCAACAAGTTTAAAAGGCTGCATAAGAAAGAAACACAAAGTAATTTCTATAATTAAGGCTTGATACACATGTAATAATTTGACCACTAAGGGGTAGCTTTATCTCCCGAGTAAAAAAACAGAAAGCTCTTTGATGCATGCTGTTGCTTTACTAAAAAGCTCTGCCAAAATACAAAAACATGTACTTCATGGTCCCACAATGACAAGAATCCAAAGAAAAAAGCAGTTGAAATAGGGGAAAAATGAGATCTAAAACTTAATGAACTTGGTAAAACTACTCTTGTCCCACCAGAAAAGAAACGTCAGCAATTGTAGAGAAGCAATTTTTCCAGCATTATCTACCTGTAACTCTGTTAGGATCTATCTGGTTTGCCCTGCTGGAGTTTTGTCCAGGCATGGAAAACTTAGATTAAAGGAGAGTCAAAAAGGTTATGCCAAAATAATAGTCAAATTCCAAAAAATTCAGGAACCACACTGGAACTTATGTTTTCTTGGTTATGAAAATGGCCCTGAGATCCAGCAACAGATTTCAGCTGCATAAAGGAAAGTGGGAGCAACAAGTTTTCTCTGTGAAATGATGTCAGGTTTAAGGGTCTGGAATCGTATTTCTGAGCAAATAAACACCTTCCTGAAGCAGCGGGCACACGAGATGTTGAAACCAAACCCTAATCACCTCTGGCAGGTGCAGCATCCTCATCCCACGAGGTACCTCATCTAGGTAATTTTTTGCTCAAGTCAAATCAGCAACTTTTATGCTGTAGTTAAGCCATAGCATCCTGAAAGCAGAGGAGACTAGACAGTCATGAAGCGACTCAAATTATCGGTATGCGATGATGCTGGCTGGTTTCCGGAGGACGGAGATGCGGTCCGAGGCGCCGCTCCAGCCTTCCCGTACCGCCGTACCGAGGGGGTGCCCGCAAAACACGGGAGAACGGGCGAGCAAAGGGTGGAGAGTGTATTAGAAGAGCTAAAATTCAAAGTAAAAACTCCACAGCGCGCTTCAAACCAAGCGCCGGAGTGGAGAGGTGGGTGTTCCTCAGCGGGACAGGCAGAGCTCCCCTCAGCGGGGCTGAACGGGACGCTCGCGGAGGACGGAGAGGAGAAGGGGGGGTCACTGAGGGAACGGGGGCAGCCGTGGCAGGGAGACACCGGTATCACTCACCTGCAGCCGCCGGGAGCTCCCTCACGGCCGGGGTTAGCCGGTTCCCCGCACGCCGGGACGCGCTGGCCCCCCCGGTCAGTGCCGGGAAGCGGCTCGGCCGCCCCTCCCCGGGCAGGGCGGTGCCTCCTCCTACCTCGAGGAGGAGGGTGAGCTGCTTCTCGGGACTTTCCCCCCGGCTCCGGGAAGCGCGGCCCGTTCCCTTGGCTGCGGTGGCAAGGGCAGAACGCGGGCCCCCTCCTCGAGGCGCCTCAGGGCTTCCGGGTCCGGAGTGGGCCGAGCAGGGACAGGGGGACGGGCAGCGGCAGCCCGAGAGGACCGTGAGGGACAGAGAATGGACACGTTCCTGCGTACTCAGTCCCCAGCGGGCAGGAGTGATGTCCCCAAGCCGCCTTCATCTCTGGCGCCGCGGCCCCAGGGTGCCTGTGTCTCCGGGAGCAGGGACGGTCGCTCTGGCCGCCAAGGCGGGCGGGGTGAGGAGGTGCCCGCGGCGGGGCTCGGGGCCCGGCCCTAACCAGTGCAGTGCGACATTACCGCAGGCAGCTGTCTCAGGAAATCCCTCACAGAAACACCGTCAAGTAAGGCTACGGCTCACAAAGTAAACTCAACACTCCGGAAAAAATCACATAAAACACAAAGGGGGACCAGGAGTTGACCATGTTTCTGTGGTGGATCCCCATATGACAGGCCTCATTCAGAGAGGTACAGATTGCCAAAATGCATTCTGTATGACTTTTCTTTCTGATGTAGCCATGACAGTTTTGTTTAAATTTGTTGCTCATCCCTTCCAGGACATTCATGGTGAAGGTTTTTCCAGTTTGTAGCACTTCTACATAAAAAAGGTCTTCTGTCTCTTTTCTTTTTTTTTTTTCTTTTTTTTTTTTCTCTTTTTTATTTTTAGGTTAAACATAATATACCTATTAAGAAACTTTTCCTTGCTTTCTTCTGGACTGTCTTAAATTCTTGAAGCTTGGTTGTTTTTCATCAGGGGGATGTGATCTGCAAAGTTTTCAGCCTTATAGGCTATCTTATTTTTAAACCTTATGATATATAGTTTGCCATTTTTCTGTACTAGTATAACGTTGCCAGCATTCTTGTGCTTTACTTCAGCACCTTGATCTTCTCTTCTGAACTGCTATCTAGCCAGTTGTTCACTGCCTCATTTTATTTCAGAGATGTCTCATACTTCCCTCTGCCAAGTTACATCCTGTTCCTTAGTAAGGCGTTCCATTTTCTTATGATGCTTTTGCTGTTTTGTCAAGCAAATGATTTCTAGTCAAAGGATAGATTTATTCTTCAGAACTGTGTTCTGAATAATTGAATCTATTTCTTCCACAGAGTTCCTGTGCATGTTTTGTGAGTCATGTAAATGGAACTTTTCACAGACGGTCACTCATTTTTCATTGCCTGCATGTAGTCTGGAGGCACCACAGCTGGACATTTACTGTTGTTTCAGAATTCAGAGCAGTCCACACATGAAAGGTCATCTAACTGCTAAGTTTTACTGAAAATGCAAATCACAGATGTCTGCAGTCAGATGTCAAAATTTTAGCTTTTCTTTTTTTCTTGTTTGTTAACAAGTCTCTATAATATGCTAGTAAGTTATTTCTTCTAATCTTTCCAGACAGTATAATTAGTAAAGCTCTCTGGAAATTTATCGATTGCATATTTGAAACTAGATTTTGAATTATATGCGATACATAATATTTGGGGTAGAAGACCTTTTCACATACTATATTAAAGATAATAGCTCATTTTTGTGCTTTGAACATTCTTATCTGTGTTTGAAAATATTTATTATTTTAATAGTGGAGATACCTTTTAAAATCTATAAATATATTTAAAATTTTCTGAATCATTTCAATCCTGCTGTGGCTCTCTATTGCCTCTTTGTTTGGGTAGCAGAAACAGTCTCTGATGTTACTTTTATTAATTCACATGGTCCATAAGTTCCAGAATGAACATTTATTAACTTATCCTTTGAATGCTTGCTTATGAACATATGAATTCACGGCTATTTAGAAATAATGTTCAAGGTACTAATTAGAACCAAAAAGACCCTAAAGAGTTATTGAATAATGTCTATAAGGAATTTCATGCCTGGTCAGAAAGTATTTCAAAAAGCAAGTTGTCACGTTCATGATACTTGAGCTGGAAAAACTGAAATACAAAAAGAAGAACAAAGGTAAATCCACAAAACAGCCTGGAAGCTCGATGTGTCAAGTTTAGCATTAGAGAATTTAAAATCCCAAATCAGGTACCAAATTTCTCTATATACACCAGGTTATAGCAGTGTAGTTGGGAAAGACCTGAAGGGCATCCAATCCAACCTGGCACCCTCTGTGTCATAAGAAGAGCTCTGAGTTTCACCCCACTTTTCTGGGTATTTTGTTGCCTGTGTATTTATGTATACAAAACCCATCTCTGACCCAACACCTGCAGGACCTTGATCCAGACTGCTGTGAAAATCTGTCATCTGTAGAGAATTTTGAAAGTAGAGCTGTGGACATGACATTGTTGATGTTCAAGGATTTCAGAGGGAAAGTGCCAGCATGAAAAGGTATAGAATCATAAAGGTAAAGATAACCTGGGGGAGCCTGGTCAAGCTTGACAGTCTAGCTGGGGACTAGCTGAGCCCTTGTGTTGTGTTTTAAGTGTTGATATAAGACTGCAAGTTAGAAATGCTGGGATTCCTCTCCAGAGAACTGTGGGAAGTGACCCTTACCCTTTTGACTCATGCCTGCCTGCTCAGCACAGACTTCTTGAATAGCTTAGCATGAGTGGCAAGTATAATAATGCTTGGTCTAGCAGCTCATTAAACTCTAGCTAGCTCCTCTCTGTTAGCCAGTAACTAACTACTTTATTTTCAATTATGTGTATTCTTTTTGCTGTGCCTGGCTAAAATACCTGAACAAACTGACCAAGTGACAAATGCACTCAAATCCTTAACCAAACTAGGGGTAGCTTTTACAGGCTCGGAACAACCTAGGGCATAACCAGCAGAAAAACTTCTGTAGTTCCAGTCTGTTCTATAAAAATACACAGGGGAACAGAGTGACAGAGGTGAGCACTGATGCATATGAACTTGGGTCACTGATCATGTAAATAGCACATGAATAGCAGGTAGCTTTTCTAGGACTCATTTATCAAAGAACAAAGAAAGTTGTGGGTGCAAGGAATCTCACGCATACCCTTCCCATTGTATGTAGTTTGACTACAAGCCAACCACTTTATTTCAGAAATGTCAGCCTAAAGAAGCATTTTTCAAGATGTCTCAGCTAAGCAGCTGGTTGCTGCTTAGGGGGATCTCCCCTTGAGCAAGGACATCTCTTGAGGTTGCTCTTCAAAGCAGAGACACCTCCCACCAAAAGCAGATCCTCATTAGCTGAAAGATACCATGCATAATCTGGTATTATAGTGCGCATAGAGTTTTGTATTGGTAGCTTTGATTTTTGTATTGGCAGCTTTGAATCATTGCTATATCCTTTGTGCAGTAGTACAGTGAACCTTGCCACTGAATTTTGTTGTTAAAAATGCAACTTTTACAATATATTTCAATAAACTCCCTTTTGCTGATACTTTTGGTGGTAGTTCTTTATTTTCCATATTTTAGTGTCAGCTGTTCCTAAAATAAAATATTTCCTCTTTTATATGTCAAGTGTTTGTAGCTTTTTGGCATCAAAAACTAATTTTTCTCTGTTGAGGTCTGTGTTACACAATGTTCTTGTAATGCTACATAACTCACTTGCATAATTTACAAAACCTACCACTGATGTTGGTATATCAATTATTTCTGCCCATTACACAATGCAGTAAATCTGCCCCTTATGAGTAATAAAAAGGTAATTTTCTTATTTTTCCACCCTTCAGGAAGAAAGTAAGCCATTGGAACAATGCTATCTATGTAAACAGGACCATTTCAAAGGAAAACAAAAAAAATCTGCAAACGTATGGTACCAAACACAATTCCCTTTGTCAGGCACTGAATCAAAGACTTGAAACAAGAAAAATGGGGTAGTTTAATGTTCCTCATTAACCAATGTAATGAAAGACTTTACTGGGTTGTTTCAAGTAAAGCAGAGATGTTTGTATTTCAAGAGTTTCTGATTCCAGTCAGTTAGTGATCATATACATGAGCTTCTGCAGTTTACTAGAGGTGTTGATTCTCTTATTAACATCTAGTAATTTGTATGAAAAATCTGAAGTTCTTTCGGTTACAAATTAATATTCAAAATAGTGAATATTAAGTCATCTTTAGCCCCAAAGCAGGATGAATCCCACCCACTTCCCTATTCTCAAGTTTTTTTCTTAAAATCTCCCATTCCCAGAAGTTCCACAACCTCTAGCTCTCTAGCTGGGACCTCACTATCCTTAGTGGTCAAAAGTTCTTTTTTTTAAAAAGGCTTACTAGGTCTTTATACCCACTGCTCTCTGCCTTCAAACTGATAGAGACCAAGCTATTATTTCCTGTGTTGCAGCAGCCTTCGAAGCATTGAAGATTAATAATATAATTTTATATAATTATATAATTTATATAATTATGCCATTATAATCTATAGAATTATAACATTTATATGATAAATAATATAATAATGAGGACCCCCTCAGCCCTTTCTAGGTTAAACAAACTCAGTTCTTTCCATGATTTACAGAATGTTGATTGTGTTCATTGCTATTCACACATCTCTTGAGTCCAGTTTCAAAGAAGAATACAACAGTCCTTTTAAGGAGCCTTATTAACACTATATTTACTCAAAGGTGACACTGCTGTTCCTACCTGTCTCTATGTTTGCTGTTTCCTCAGAAGCAGTTGTTTATTTAAGATCTACCTGTGATGTTCTGTAAGTCACAGATCATTTTTATCTTGCCAGCTCTTTTCTTTCCTTGTTTAATTATTTCTGCTTAACACTACAACATTGCTCTTTCCCTTTTGACACACCATTACTTTAACTTGTCAAGACGCTTTTGAATCTTAATCCTGCTTGCTGTTATGATTGTGATCCCTCATATCTTCATGTCATTTGAAAATCCTGCACATCTTCTGTTGTATCAGACAGATTTTTAGCTGTGTACAGCCAAGACAGATGCTTTTAACTCCATTATTGTTTCTTTTTAGCTGCAAGCCACTGCTTATTGCTTTCTGCCTGTGCAGTGGCAACTTCCAAAACCAAAGTAAAGCAAACCACTGCTTTCCATAAACAGTATTCCTCATACATGATTTAAATCCTACCCAGGAACAATCTCTGTTTAGTCAGAAGTTGCAGAAATACTCTACACAGTGAAAGAGTTCAGAGAAAAGTTCTTGAGTGAACTGCACGGAACTAAGCAACTTGAGATG